AGAAATTTAGGAGAAGAATACGAACATGTTCTTGCATGAGGCCCAATGAATTTTGGTTTTTCATTTTTTCCCCTGTAAGAGGTTTTTATTTAGTAGAATTTTTGGACAAAAAAATCGCAATATATCGCCTTGTTTACAGTATCGCAATATATCAGGATATATCGTATCGTGAGCCCTCTGTCATGATATGTATCGTATCGCCAAATTCTTGCCAATACACAGCCCTATTTCCAACAGTATTAGATTTATTACCAGGAAGCATTGTTACAACAAAGAAATCTTGGACTCTTAGAATCTACTAAACACATGTTTCCTTACTGTTTATGCTAAGTTTGTATATTACAGCTAAAATGTTCTCATTTCACCAGAATAAAAACTTAAAATGTGAGGTACCAAATTTTTCTGCATGATGAATTTTCCCATCTGTGAAACCCCTGAATGTGAACTAAATAAAACTCTTTGCCTCAGGGGTGAACAACAGCAGAAATCCATTTTTAAAATCCTTAAATCTGAGTCCGACGCAGGTGTGTCTTAAAGTGCAAACTGGCTGCAGCATTATGTTACAGCACAAGGAAACGTTTGAAAACAGCGTATTCAGCTTTTATGAGTTAAAAGTTTCACGTTCATGCTCAGACGCGAGACATATTAGAGACAAGCAGCAGCGCAGATGGTTCAGAGTTCGTGTGAGGGGTACCTTCTCTTGCTGGAGTGCTTTGCGGGGACTGAGCGACAGACAGAGACTGAGACAGAGTGGAGCCGTCGTCAGAGGTTAGCTCGTGCTCGCCATCTGCAGGGAGGGAGGGGAGGAGTCGGGGAGGAGGAGAGGATTGCAGCATGGGGTGGAGGGTGGGTTTAAAGCAGAGGACAGCGGCGAGGGTGAGTGGGGATGAGAGGGTGGAGGGATTTGGGATGGGAGGTCAGGGAGGGAGGTTCAGAGATTAGTGACAACACACACGTTAGAATCAGGCCATGCACAGATGTTTCTCCATGAAAAATAAATAAATAGAGAAAGAAAATCCTTGCTGATCATCAGGTTGTCTTTCTGCCTTTTTTTCTTCTTCCCCGAGTGTTGCTGAGCGTGCTCTGTAACATGTTGAACTCTAATATCCCAGTGAGAAACAGATGCTCTGAAGCACAGCTTACTGACTGCAGGCTGGACTACCAGGACTGCTACAGCATGTAACAATGTGCACTGTATACTCAAACATTCAACTTCAGAGGAATTTAATCTAAATCGGATGTTTAAACACCACTTACTGGATAAATAAAACCATGAAAAGTAGAAAAAAGTACAGCTGGAATAGTATTGTTGGTCTAATCTTTTGATAAAATGATAAACGTTCATCCCTGAGCTCATGAGTTCAAAGCTAGGTGACAATTTAAACATCTGCTATGATTATAAAATGCTTCTATGCAGATGAAAACCTGAAGTAATTTTTTTAAAGAAATGCTCAAATTAAGCACATCATTATGCCTCTCATACAGGGTATACATTTCATGCAACAGCTTTTGTAGAACCGTTTAATGTTAGAATTGAGTTGTGCATGAGCAGCTTTGTTAGTGTTTTACAGTTGAGCGAGAGAATGGCGTTTAGCAAACGCACATCTTTAGCACATTCGATGCTCACAGCTCAGTTATCAGTTGTTGCACTCATTCACAGCTCCTCCGAGCGCAGTCTGGCCTGTGTCAAAGTGCTTAATGTGCTTCATGGGTGGCAATAAGATAAAACCGTGCAACATGTTGAGGTTTGAAGTATCAGATCAGTCCAAAACAACAAACAGAGAGTAATCAAAGTCTGCAACACCTGGCTGTGGTTTAGATCATCTTGTACAGTTTGCGGTTAAAATAACTTTTCTTTTTTAAACAATAAGCATTCACTCTACAGGGTGCTACGAGTCATAAACCTGCAAACGTGTGTGTGTTTATGTGTGTTGCGGGCCCAGCTTGGATCAGGCCCTCCAGACGGACTTCAGCTTGCATCCAGATGGGTCACCGGGGATTCATGGGGCTGTGGGGGCAACAGTGTCATGGCAACGGGCTCGGCTCACGTGGCGGGTGTGAAGACCTGCTGTCCGTTCGGTCTGCCATCTTAGTCACACCGGCCTGTCAAGCAGGCTCCCGCTCGGCGCTTCGCATGCCATCGAGAACATTTGCACACATCCGTGCACATGCATGAACACGTGGCCTTGCTGACGGACACCACCGCGTAAAAAAACAAGCACATTTAACTCCGGTCCAATGTGCCTGCAGCACTGCAGAGGGACCACTGAACACCCACCCCCTCCGCTAAATATCTGTTCACTATTGATTTACCGCTCTCCTCGGCGAACAGCTAATATGATTACCATTGACTGCCATGTGTGCAGATACAACCCACCCCCCACCCACACATGTTAAAGGGCCAGTATTATGTGTTTCTCAGGCATACATTTGAATACTATACCATAATAAAGTATCTATGTCACCTTTAGCTGTTATTAAAATGCTGTTTTTATGTTTAAATAGAAAATAAACTTATCTTCTCATCACTTCCTCTTCTAAATGCCTTGAAATTGGCCTCTGTCTCTTTAAGAACCACCTTCCGCTTCTGTCCCGCCCATTTTAGCGTGCGGGGGGGTTCGCGCTATGATACAGTTTACTTGGCATCTGAAAATACATTTCCTCAAAAGTATTTTGAATCTGAAAAGAGCTTCACTGAGTGAGAAATAGTGTTAAGAGCAGCAGACAGTTTAAGTTTCACTTTCAGTTTCACCCATCGTTACTGCCGAGAGCCTGCAGGGTGTGTGGGGAAGGGGGCGGGGGGGCTCTGCCATGAGGAAGCTTGGCACAAGACACAAACCAGGGGCGTTTCTGGTACCAAAAGGTGTTTCTGGTCCCCACCTGTCGTTTTGCTCCTCAGCATGGCTGCCTAAAAATGCTACAAGATTTCTCAAACATGCATGAATGAGTCAAAGCAAGGCTTTGGACATGTTTTTTTTTATGAGAGTATAACATTATAACATGATATAAAACTCAAAAAAGATGATTTTACATGGTATTGCCCCTTTAAGATGAACACAATACACAATGGATCACCTATTGATCAGATGCTGCTGCTGACTGATCCATGATGTGATGTAAATGTAACATTTTCTACATATAGGTCAAATTAATCTCTGCAATAAAATAACTTTGTCTGTTTTTGTCACTTTTACAGTGGATTGCATCAACTCTGTTACATTTCAGAAGGGAAACTTCACCAAAGTGAAACATAAATCTGTGGATCTGTGTTTGATTACTCTGCCTGGCTTTCTCAAGGACCAGGATGTGACACAAAAATCTGAATTATGGAACTGAAAGTGAAAGTAGTCAAACTGAATTTTTTATAAACCAAAATACAGTTTCAATGCAAATTAATTCAGATACAAAACTCAGTTTCAATTTGGTAAAATTCATTTTCAAACCAATGCATTCAATTTGAAATTCTGCACGTTCAGATTAAATCTGAGCTAATCAAATTCACTTCCTGCTGACACAAGATTGATCCCATACTTTTCCTTTTAAAAAATGGCACTGACGATTTATTAACTGCAGATTAAAACTAGTGAATACTGAAGCAGATAGGTGTGACATTAAAGTTATTTGAGCGTCATTGGATGTTTTTCTGGTTTAATGCTCCACCTAGGCTTACCAACATGAAAACAAAAACTGAAGACAAATGCTCAGATATCAGAAAGAAGAGCAAGTTTAAACATTTACTCCTAAATCTGTTGTCAAGTACTCAATATTAGGGTTTATTGACCAGCTAACTGGTCAAACTATTCTCTCTCATTGAGTCCTCAAATGTTGGATTGTTCATTGATTATTCGTCTAATTTGTTTTAAGCCTGCCAAATATTTAGCCATAAATTTACTCTCAAATTCACTGGGACTGCTTTCTGCTGACGCTGTGTGTATCAGAGTAGTGAATGTGTGTTCGTCATACCGCTGAGGCCCAGTTGCCTTCTCTCCACGTTTTTGCGATACTCCTCCAGCTCCTTCTCTGACAGCTCGCTGAACGGGTTGGGAGGAAGAGGCGCCATCTGCTCCTCCTCTGTGGGCACGTATGGCTGAGGGAGGAGCAGGAGGCAGGAAGAGGGGTTAGCGCAGGAGCACCAACACTCACACACACACTTACACACAAATGTTAAAACAAACACAGAAAAGGCAAACAAACGGATACTAAAAACGTCCAACGAGAGCACATCTAATCAACACATAAAACATTCAAACTCACACCGAACTTAAATTAAACATCTCTCCTGAGACTGGAGTGAAAAACAAGCCAAGTGGACAATCGTGCTCCAAAAGAACATCGCACTTCAAAACACCCACAAAAAAAAGGACAATCACTGTCTTAAACAAAATAATATTAATTATAATAAAAGAGGCATAAAAAAAAGTAAATTTTAACACACAAACACGTGCAGTGTTTTCTGTTCTGGTCAAATTTAAAAAAAAAAGAAAAGAGACAGTCAAATAAAAAGCACTGCAAGCAGAACCACAGAGCAATATGAATATTTACCATAACTCTTATCTGCCCCAGATCCTTAAAGACAAGATTGCAACCACAAAGTTATATAAGCACCAAAGTGTCTGAAAGACTTTCTTTCTATAATTATCACCTCCTACTTTGATCAGTCTTTTATTTCACTGTTGCAACTTTCAAGGTTTGGCCTGCTCATTTGCCTCCCCCTGGTGGCACTATTAGAGCACAAATATCAGCCCCCTCCCTTACCTGTATGCTGGCCTTCTAAAATCTGTAATTTTCCCCAAAAAATCCATAGTACTCTAACATGATATAAGCGTGCGAGGTGATACCGCTCCCCCCTTCCCCCTACTCTCTGAAAAGAACAGTTTGAGGACGCACACTGACAAAAACAGCAAAGCGTTGATTTTGTGCTGCCGTGCTGCACAGTGGGTTGGGGAGGTGGTCATTTTATTTTATTTCTTTGTTATTTTTTTGTCTTACAGGCTCCGAGACAGGAAATGAATTTGAAGCTGAGTTTAAAAAAATCCATGAGATTTCACTATATGTCCATAAACCTGCAAAATGAGGGAAAATCCATGAAACTTACAATCTGTACAAGTTGACACGTGTTAGCCTGCCTGTAGTCATCAGTGAGTTTCTGCAGATGTCCCACAAGACATTTAAGATAATTTGAAGTGGGGTTTTGTGGACATGTTATGATCAATAATATCTTATCTGCTGCAGATAACTTTTTTTAAACAGCCTCCCTTTGAGGAAACAAGAGACGAGATTAATGATGTTGATGAAAGTCTGCCCAGATTAGCTGTTCGCTTAAAGGGATCCATGATTAGTTGTAACATTAGACTTTATTTAATAAACATATATTTTAACTGTAAAATAAAGACTGTAAAAAAACTGTAGGATGTTTAGTTTTATCATTTTTAAACTAAAAGTTTAAAAATATATTACACGGACGGGGCCATTTTATTTACACGCAAAGCATTCTGGGTAAATGATGACATCAACTAGGTCCTCGGTGCGAGGCTGCTAGCGAGCTATATCCACCCTGAAGGTTAATCTTGGACAATATCTGATGATCGACTCTTTTAAATGAAACCAGAGAGCGTTGACAGAGAGGAGAAGGTAGAAATGACTCAGCCTGTAACTGAAAATATGGATGGAGGACAACAGAGCTGCTTCATGGAAGAAGAACCTCAGCTTAGCCTGTTAGCTTTAGCATTAGCCCCGATGCTATCACCATATATATGTATTAGCTCAGCGCTACACATTCTCCTCTCGTCACTGAGGTCCTCCATCCATATTTTCAGTTACAGGCTGAGTCATTTCTACCTTCTCCTCTCTGTCAACGCTCTCTGGTTTCATTTAAAAGAGTCGATCGTCAGATATTGTCCAAGATTAACCTTCAGGGTGGATATAGCTCGCTAGCAGCCTCGCACTGAGGACCTATCCACGTCATCATTTACCCAGAATGCCTTGTGTGTAAATAAAATGGCTCCGTCTGTGTTAAAATATATTTTAAAAAATTTACAAAACTAAACATCCTACAGTATTTTTAGTCTTTATTTTACTATGTTTTGTCTTACCTTTGTAATCTCGCTGCTGTGAGGAATGAGGGTTGTTTAAAGAGCTATCTACAACAGGAACAATGTTAATTGCTCATAACTCCATTTCAAATGATGTGAAATATGACTTTACTGACAAACAAAGCGGGTGGTTATGACCTCACCTTGGGAGTCCAGTTATTTACGAGCTCAGATCAGTTATCTTAACCCTGAGAGGAACAACCACCTACCCAGTTAGATATATAGTATCTGTGTGAAGCCTCAGTGATACATCTGAAATCATGAAAGGACAACCTAATTTGTTATTCTGTGATCAAAACAGATGTTTAATTAGACAGAACTATTGGATAATTATACAGGACACTAAATGTTTGCTGGGTCAATAATCAATAAGTTAAGAGAAAAAAAGAATAGAGAAATGTTGATAGCCTTTCAGTGGTTCAGACTACACACACAAACTGCTTACATTCAAATCTAAAAATAAGCTAAATCTCTCTGAACTGACAGAGTTTAGTCAGGTTGGTTGCCTTTTGGGTTGTTTTGTTCTAGAATAAAATAAATAATGGGATAGCTGAAAATGTGCAAAAACAAAACAAAAAATTTTTTTGAATTTATTTTTAATTTATGTGCTCTTTATTAACATCCCTCGTTAAAAAAATGAGGTTTATTTGGGCCAGCTTGTGCAGATGTAAGGCTTAGTTTATTATAAATTTAACTCTTTGACAATTCAGATATTTCTGTGAGAACTTAGTCACCTGCTTAGGAAGTATGAGCTGATTTGAAGCAGGCCTACAATCAGTTTTAACCAAATAAACAGCTCTTTAAAAAAAAACAAACAACAGAATTAGGTTGTGAGTTCCTAACGCTCTTACCTGGCGCGGTACATCAACAGGAATGCCTGCAAGGTGCTGAGAGCGCGGCCCTGATGACATCACGTCTAACCGGTTCTGCTCTCGGATCTAGAACGGGACAAAAAAACAACAATGTCACCAACATGAAGCATCAATAGTTAGTCTGTAGTAAGTCACTAGTCTTTAGATCTTGGTGCCATCCGGAGATACGCAGTACATCAAAGCATGTTGGCAGTAGAAGAAGTTTCACTAACTTTGTTTCTTTTTTGCAGAACCTCACTGGGGTCTGTGTTGAGGGGGATGAACTGATTGGCGTCCTCGATCCGGATTGAGGTGCCTGGTTCGTCCGCCTTCATCCACTGCGAAGAGAAGAAAATTCAGAGCATTTTTCAGTAAACTTACAACAAGCAGACGGGTGGCAGTTCACGGTTCAAACACTAGATGGCAGTGTGGCATTAAGTACTACAGCAGGAGTTATTTCCTCCTGTTTTGAGATGAGATTTTCCCCGTTTTCCCTCTCACCGTGGTGGTCCGGCTGTTGTAGCGCTCCTCTCCGCCCTCCACGCTGACCTTGGTGTAGCTGTTGGGCGAATTGAGCCAGCGTGTCTTTTCCCTCTGCTGCCGCTGCTGCAGGAACTTGAAGGGCAGCCGAGTGGCGTCGCCGTCCTCATCGAAGGTGAACGCCGTGACGGTGGCAGGGATCTCCACTTCGCTCTTGTGCCTCGGCTTCTCTCGCACGATGGGGTGTCTGTAGGTGTAGCCGGTCCTGTAGCCCTGCGAGGCAAGATCTTGTTTATGAATGTGCTTCTGTGGTTTTGTTTTATTATTATTTTATTAGTGGTTTTACAATTTACTTTTAAATTATTAGATATTTGAGATGTATTGACGTAAGGTCAATGGTGGAACAGTGAGACAAATGAGCATCTATTCTGTGATGCTGTCACTCTGAGCTGATCATTCAGATGGGGGGAAAAAAGTGACCAACAGAGGAGCGGCTGCAGGGTTCCTGGCAGCTCAGAGGACAGACTCATGGTCTCATTTCCTCTGACTTTTTCTCTTGCACCCCTCTCCCTCCTTTCCTCATTTCTCCATTTATTTTTTTTTCTCACATTCCCATTTCCCCTCGCTCAGTTGTGGCGCTGCTGTTTTCCAGTCAACTTTCCACACTCAGCTTTTCCTTTCATCTGAACCCTGCGGTCAGAGCTGACCTTTCAACTCGCCTCCGTCGCCCAACCGAGCTGGCCGGATCTGTTCCGGCGACATCCTGCTTTCCATTCAGACATTTCATCACAGTCACAGCTGGACGTTTGCTGTATTTTTACGATAAAACTGCTTCATTCACCCCCCCGCCGCCCCCCTCGCCCTCTTCACCCACCCACTGAGTCTGGGTCTTATACCAAGGCTGGGAGCTTATTAAAGACAAAAGGTTTATGAGTGACGGAACTAGAGAAACTACGTTTTCTGTGAAAAAGATGGGTGAATGCTTAGTAATGAAAATCTTTGCTGAAATTTACTGAAGATTAAATTATTAACTGAATTGTAAAAGTTAAAAAAAGGCACAACAAACACAAGCTAAAATCAGCAACATGAAGCTTTTTAGTAAAAATCTATTTAAAAGCTTAAATTAGCAAAACCTAATCCTCTGGAGGGAGCTGACAGAGTGTAGACAGGCAGGGGAACTGATTAACGGCCCAAATCTTAGGTTGGGGAAAGCTCTCATCGGCCTGACAAGGAAAACTCTTGAGTACACTTGGAATCCTAACTGGGCACAATCTGCTCAACCGCCACAAAATGGTGATGGGACTCCATGACAATGGTCTGTGTGATGCCTGTGGCTTTGAATTAGAGACCTCTTTGCACTACTTAGGCCACTGTCTGGCTCTGAGTGGTCAAAGGAAAATAATTCTTGGAGAACCTTTTATGGATCCTGTGAGGCTCAGAACACTGAGTGTTTCTGACCTTGTGTCCTTCATCTGAAGGATGCAAAGGTTTGATTAAAGACCAGTGTCTTTTTGGGGAGAGTAATGGGCCCACTTATGAGGCCCCCGCTCACATGGGTTTTACCCATCACCATTCACCATACCATATATTAGCACAACCATAGCTAAAATCAGTAAAATGAAGCATTTTAAAAGTTAGGATTGGTAAAACAATCTAAAAGCTAAACATCTAAAGATTAAAATAGGCAAAACCATACAAACAAACTTAAATCAGCTAAATCATAGCTAAACATTAAATGTAACAAATCAGTTGCTAAAGCTACAGTAAATGTACAAGTTCTGCATCCAAAAGCTAAAAAATGCAGTCAGGATTAGTAAAAACCTAAAAGTTGAAACTATCTAAAAGCGTAAGCAAAACCATACATCAAAACTACATTAACCAGAGGTTAAAGATAAAATAAGCTAAATCATAGTGAAACATAAGTGTTGCCAAAAAGTTGCTAAATGCAAAATGTAAAACATCTGTTGCTAAAAGCTATATTTAACTTTTAATTTTTGTCAATAAAGATAAATTATTCAAAAAGTATAAGTTACAAACACTAAACGCCAAAGCACACCATTTCTGATTGAGCCAAATGTTTTGATGTACAAATGGTTAAATTACACAAAGTATGCAGAAATAGCTTAGTTGCAAAAACAGTAGAGAAAAACTCAACAGTGGGAGTCCTGAGCCGCAGCATTTACACAACAAGTGGACAACAGAGACATGAGCTGTTCGTCAGGCTGAGAGGCAAATATTCACTGGGGAAAAGCATGAAGAGGGAGGAAATTTACTGGCTTAAGGACAGAAGGAGAAGATAAAAAGAACAGAGCGATACCTCCATGTTCACAAAATCTCCCATTCTTTGAGTCATTACAGAAAGATTTGAAAATGGAACAGCTGCTTTTACAACACCTTAAAATTATGCAAATACAAAATGCACTCCACCCTTTTAAACATATTATGTTCTCTTTTTTTTAACCTTTATGTATTGTTCTTCTAAAACAGACTTTTTCAGTTTAACTGCTAACAGCTGTAACATTTTTGTCACATTTATTTATTTACAGCCTAATGCTCTGTCCTGTAGGTGGTGCTATTTTCTAACTCAGTTTTGTCACTTAAGGTAAAACTGCTCTAAAGATACATGAATGTTGCTCAAAGTGTGTTAGCAAGTTATCTCATCAACATGTAGACAGATTCTAATGAAATGATTAATAACTGGATGCACATCTACAACGCATTCACTTTTGGGGGTCAAACTGATTTAAGATGGTCCATAAAAGTTACACAAAAAATTAGTAGGCTTAGTAGTTTTACAAATACTGAGCAAAACGTCTGGTGGTAGTAGCTGAGAGTCATCCCCAACACATGCTGTACTCTGAGAACAGATCTTTGTTTAAAACACCCGTCCGTCCGTCCGTCCGTCCTGGAACAACCTGCCCTCAGACATTAGACGGACATCTTCACTTCCACTTTTTAAATCTCTTATAAAATCAATCTGTTTTCACTGGCTTTTAATACAGCTTAGGTTCTTATTTCTCTGATGTTTTTACTCAAATTGTTTTCATTTTGCTGTAAATATCTCTGCGTTTCCTTTTTATTTTGTATTGTTTTTATCTTCATTTTATGCTATAATTGGTGTAAACTGTGAAGCGCATTCGTCAACTGCTGCTGTTTTAAAGGTGTTATACAAATAAAGTTGACATTGACATCCATCCATTCATTTTCTTCCACTTATCCGGGATCAGGTCGTGGGGGCAGCAGCCTAAGCAGAGAGACTCAGACTTCCCTCTCCCCAGCCACTTGGGCCAGCTCCTATGGGGGAATCCCACGGCATTCCCAGGCCAGCCGAGAAACATAGTCCCTCCAGTGTGTCCTGGGTCTTCCTCTGGGCCTCCTCCCAGTGGGACGTGCACCTCACCAGGGAGGCGTCCAGGAGGCATCCTGAGCCACCTCAGCTGGCTCCTCTCGACGTGGAGGAGCAGCGGCTCTCCTATGTTTGTCATGTTCTGTCTTCTTCTGAATGGGTGTTCTGAACTATAATTTCATTGTGCTCTGTACAGTGACAATAAAGTTCTAATTTAACCACGCCCCTCCAGGTCTCACTGTAGACAAGGATCAGACCGCCAAGGTCCTCGCCTTCAACCCCTGCCCAACACACACTGAACCAGACCCCTTTGGCTCCTCCCATGGGAAGGGACAAAACAGACAATATTAACTGTAATACATTCAAAACTGATTTCTATAGAGAGCAACCAGTCACAATGTAAGATCCCAAAATAAACATTTTCACTGTCTATTTCTTCATTTGATTCAGTGTTAATCATATGTTTGATTAAAGCATCATTAGTTTTTTTTTCTCTGCTGACTCACCAGATTATCCAGCATCCTCATCAGCGACTCAAACTCCAGTTCCCCGGGCTTCCACTTGTATTGACCCCCCATGTTGACGGCTTCAGCTGAGGCCAGGGCAAACACTCGCGACCGGTACTTCTCCTGGTCCAGCACTATCAGGTTGTCCACTCCTCCAGCACACGAGATGGCATTCACCTAAAAGCGCAACGAGATGCATGTAAAATTCAGCTGATAAACAAGTGTTTATAGAATGCAAAACAAATAAAACTATATATGGAGAAAGAGAGCTGACAGTCTTCAGGTCTTATTTTTTACTTAAAAAGAGCACTGAAAGCAGCTCTAAGATTAATTTTTGAGAATTACGATTGTAGTGACAGAGTCAGCCACTAGGTGGCGCCTCCAAAGCAGAAACCACCTTGCATGTGCTTCTTCTCTACCAGTGATGAAGAGACATTTAAGTGCCAGGTATGCTCCAGCCAAACTGACAAAATTGGATTGGATTGTCGCAGTTTTGTGTCGAAAACTGTGTCATTTTGTACGCATTGTCGACTCTTTGGTCTCTTCTTGTCATAAACCGCTGGCCGAACTTTTTCCTCCGTCCATATAAGGACTTAGTGTGTGATTGGTCAGAAGTTTGTGGGCGTGACTGTTTATGCTGAAAGCACTTGGAGGCTGCATTTCACTTTAACCACTCGCTTAATTTAATAAAAAAAGGCTTCCAGAAACCAACTGTTTTAAACTACGTGGAAGCAGACATTTTAAAAAATGTCAAAAAGTCATGGATGTAGATAAAAACAGTGTTGTGCAAGTACACAGTCTGTCTGAACTGTGGAGCTTTAATCGGGACAGACTTTTGGAAAAATAACGTCAAGTGACGGGTCTCAGATTTATTTTTATTTTTTCCACATTGTAGACTCCAGCTGGAAGAAATGCTGTGCAGTGACGTATACTGCGGCAGGAGGAGCATGGCACGTTGTGTCTCAGGTCTATGAAAGTTGTGTGTGAAAACGAAAGCCGAACAACCACACGACCGCGCATTGTCCGTGCAGCTGCCGATCGACCATACTGAGCCCTTTAGCCATGGCTAAGAACAGAGAAAAGAAAAGAGAGAGGAAATCGCATGTTTCAGAATTTCAAGGCAAACTTATGTGTTTAGTCTGCTTGGAGATGCTGTGTCCCACAAATGACTTTAATATAAGTCACAACTACATGTTGCACAAAGCTAAATATGTTCACTGAAGCCGTAAGAACAAAACAAAACAAWACAAAAAACTGAATTTTTACCAGAACCACAAACAGCAAGAGTCTGCACCCAATGGGTCTTAAGCTGTTGTACTTCAGTTCGCTAAAGTAAATGTCTATTTTTTTATTAGCTTCAAACATTTTTTATTCATTAAACAACAGTATGACTGTTACACACATTTGAGCATGAATTATGTTAACATAATCATTTTTAAAATGTCAGTTTTTTTACATGTGGGCTAGCCTGGTTAAAACCAGATCCTTGTCCTTCGCTTTGCTTCGTATGAGGGTCTGGACTCTCGGCTATAGAGAAGCGATTCATGCTGGAGGAGTGGCCTCTGTTGAAGTTTAAAACGATTGGATTGGTTGGCTGCGATGTATGTCACTGTGAAGGAGGCTAAGCTAAGAAGCTAACCAGAAATAGTGTGCGCTATAAACAACCCTACTGAGAGGAGAAAAGTACCAAGCTGAACGAGACGGCTGTAAATGAGAGCTGCTGCTTTGTCAGACAAATTTAATTTAATTTGGAAGCCTTATCAACACAGACTGGCTTCATTCACTTCCTCCACTGCCGTATGCTAAAATAACTAGCAGACACTGTGCAGAAAATCAACGTTGTCGTTCAAAACTCCTCCTTCTGTTCTCTGATTGGCCCAGGTAAAATTCTCCTGAAGAAATCCTTGTCTATGGGAGAATCCCAGACGGAGCAGTGAAGGGAAAGTAGAATTGAGCAGAACTGCGTAGAAAGGCAAGGGCCAGGTTACATTTGGGTAAGTGTGCAGTGTTATGTGGACCTCTAAAATTGTGGCCCCTTCCATCACTGAAGTTGCCCATCCCTATTAGAAAAAGCATAAACAGACATCTTTACTTGTTCCTGTGCAGCTTTAAGACATCATTTACCAAACCCTAAATGAGACACCCTCTGAATCTACCACAGCTTCAAATTTACAGAGAAGTGACCGAGTCTGAAGGGATTTATTTATAGAAATTAAGCTGAGCTTTGCGAGGTGGATTAATGTTTTCTTTTACTTCGGCAGGAGGAGAGTTATTTGGGAGGTTTGGCACACCGTGGTAAAAAATGAAGGAGACAACTTTTTTCATCCCAAAACCCACTGAACAAACAGGGAAATATAAAATTAAAACACTGATAAGCTAATATGACCTAGATCCAAGCATGGAAGCCTGACATTCAACAAGCACCAACAATTAATCACCAAGCCACAGCTTTATATCTGTGATTTAATGAACAAATGTGAAGAACGTCACCCTAAATTCTGCTTTGATCATCAACGACTACATCAGATTAGACTGTAATACCTGGCATTAAAGTCCAAGTAGCCTAATTATAAAACTGTGTTTGGCCAGTTTTCCACTTGGCGAGAGATTATGAGTTACTGAATGCTGTTAAAATAGTATGGATGGGGAAATGTGAAAGCAGCTGGTGGGAGACTAGATTTACGGAGGAAATTCTTGTCATGCTGGTCCACCGGAGGCACACAGAAACCATGTGGGACTGGAATGTGGTGCAAGCTCTGTGGTTGTGTGTACCTGGATTTCACAGGCGTACTGGGCTGTGTAGATGAACTGAAAGGCTTCTTCAATGGTCTCGCCGAGAGCGACCACGCCGTGATTTCTCAACACCAAAACCTGCAAGAAAGGCGATAAAGACGGCAGAACTGTCAGGTTAAACAAGTTGTTATGGTGTATGTTTGCTAGCTTGATGGCGAGTCGAAAATATCCTGAACCAACTATTTGTCCCCATACACTATTAGCACACATACTGGTTTCATCAGCAAACTTTGAAACAGAAGCAGAGTAGATATTTTACCGGGATGCCCAACTGCTTCCCAGTTTAAACTCACCACACCCTGATAACGAGGTGTTTTCTTTCTTGACTCCAACTACTAAATATAGAATTTCCTTTTCCTTGAATTCTTTTTTAACACTGCTTGAAGGTATCATGTGTACGTGATTATTTTCGCGCCTCCCACCTTCGCTGTGGGCCCCAGGGCCTTCTGCAGCTCTATACGCTCCTCCTGGTCATCCAGGCTGCCCTGGTAGCTGTAATATGCGATGTCACCCAAGAGCAATGCCTCCTGGGAAATAGGCAGGATGCCGCACTTCATAGACGACACCTGAAGGTGAAAGATGAGACAGTGGTGCATAAAAACAGCAGAAATAATTATATAGATTCCTTTTCAGGTTAGTTTCTGCACGCCTTAAACTGTTTTGTTTCATCGGACTGTTCTTTGCTTGAAGGACAGCCAGGTGTGACACGGATCTGCGTAACGTGAACTCACAGCTGCTGTGGCAGGAGTGTGCACGTGTATGATGCAGCGGATGTCTGGACGCATGGAGTAGATGGCAGCATGCGGGCTGAAACCTGCAGTGTCGATCCTCAGGTTGGTGGAGCCCTGCTCGATCACGTCCCCAATGATGTTCACCTTTACCTGAGGAGATGAGAAAAGCTTTTTGTTAGGGTTGCCAACTCAGCCCCTCCAAAATGCTCGGTTGTGGGGGCGGGGCTTAATGATGCAACGTGGCAATTGTGACGTCCCCACACACTATTTCTTGTTTCCCCTACGTTTGGGTTACATCCACCTAAGCAATAGTTAATCCTGTTTCTGTCGGATCGTGACGGCTCTTATTGCAGGCTGCAGTTGGGAGAAAAAGCATTCCATACGGGACACCTCAGTTTGGTTGAAAATACGGGACAGTTAGCAACCCTAGACTTTGGAGCAGTCTGTTTTGAATTCATTATTCAGTATATTATACAGAATTTACTCCAAAATGCTGTTAAAATTGCTTAAAAGACACTTAAATATGGACTAGAAAGCATCGAGGTGGCTTGCCTGAGTGGAAAACGCTTTTAAAACTGAACACAAAAACAAATTCATCCTCTTGAAGACATTTAATAAACTCCTCAATGTCAACCAGCCAGACAGCGACATAAATCAACATTAGAGAGCACAATGATATGTATATATA